AAATAACAGTAAGTAAAATTAATTATCAATTAATTTATCTTAACTAAACATTAGTTTAATTCAATCCAACAAGCATAACACATCTACACATTACATTTTACAAGCTTGAATGTGAATATACATACCTCCATCACTATTTTTTTGATGACAATAGTTTGTGACAAGTCGGCAATTTTAAAGAGTATGTCAACAATTGCTTGGACAGTAGCAGCAGACTGGGTTATATTAATATTATTCTCTGATGTGGCAATACTGAGGTCAGCCATAAACCCTGGAATCTCCTCCACACGCAAGGACTGAATTGCAAAGTACAAAAAATACAAATATCAGAAACATTTAAAATGGCCAGATCATTGTAGATAGATATGATCAATAGATTACCTCAAGTTTGTTTTTAAGGTTGTCGATAACTTCAAGTACACAGTTGTCCTCTAATGGTTTCCAATCACGTGATTCACATTTGTAAGTTATGGTGCCTTTCGTGCCAATTCCACAGACTCCTGTTTTTACGTCATTTGTATTTCCAACTCCAATTTCTTCATTTCGACAGTCATAATCTGAAGAATTATTTTATTAAAAATCAGAAGTAAACAGATGTGATTTAATGGTTTCTCTCAGAACAGAACATCACATTATACTTTATAGATTTTGGGACTTGAAAGTACCCCTGCAGGCTACTTGCACATTATGCAGAAGCATAAGAAATAATTAGGGTCAAATGACTAAACAATTGACCAGTACATTCAACACCAGATAATCAGGTGTGCTGCAATCCAAAGAAAAGTCTGCTAGACCGTAAATACCATTTAATGCAACTGTACAACAGTAAAAAAGCACTTTGATGCTGAAAACAATGAGAAACTGAAGGCTCACTTTCTGTGCTTGTCCTTACTGTGACGCTGCTATAGCTATAACTGAAATACTGTAGTTGTGGCAGATCCTTGAGACGACATGTAAAGGTAAAGGTTTGATCTGAACAATTTCCCCTCGGAGTATCATAGTTTAATGTGATACTGTCAGATCCTGATTGTGTAAAAAGAGAAATGCATTTACTATAAAACATTAATAACACGAAGGTTTTATTTGAAGGACAACTACTCAATAACTTTTAGAAAAAATGTTTGATAAAAAACAATGATTTTTATGTACAACCTGAAATTTGTACTGTTCCACCCACGACCCACTCAAGATTGTAGCCATCATCAACAGAACATATCAGTTGAAAACTGCTGCCATCACATGGAAAAACACGGGATTTTTCCCCCACAATGATACTGGGACGTCGTTTAATAATGATGTTTTGCCACTGAATGTATGGTATTGTATTCCTTTGTATAATGCACGAATATCGACCTACATATGAAAAATCAATACAGAATCATTAGAGGACATCTCTTAAACCCAGTAGGTTTTGTTTACTGAACAATGTTACTAAACATCGAGGAACTTCATACCTTTTCTAATGTATTTATTTATTTATTTGCTCGCAAAACAAAACTTTGTTAATGAGGCAATGTTCATGGCATTAACACACTATGAGAGTAGCTTTATTTCGATTGGTTTAATAGTTCATAATCTATGCCACATATAGTATAATCTCGTCTAATCTTATGCTATAGTAGATCAATATGCTAATGTACTTCAATCAAACTGTGGCACAGTTTTACAGCAGTATATTTTTTAAAACAGGACTCTAATAGCAATCAGACATTTTGCCATGTGATATCATAGACAAGACAAAAATCAGACTCATGTCGCTCACCATTGTAACTTTCACTCGCGTTTAGCATAGTGAGAGTTGTCATGTCATTGGAAATTAAATATTTTGTGTTTCCTGCCAGATCTTTGTTATCCATTGTCCATTTTATCTGACCCTTTGCAAATTCTGGCTGATTACATTTCAGGTACACCTCTTGCAGAGGGTATAACTGATCTTTTGTGAAAACTGCTTGATCTGTAAATAGAAACCATAAAACTCATGTCACCCAACAACAAACAAAACCTAAACAACAAAATAATAAATATGGTGAAACTAAGAAATGTGAAGGGTTTTAGATTAGGCAGTGACTACTCTTACCACTTTGAGCAAAAGCATTTTCAACTAAATTTATTCCTTGTGTCTTTAGAGAGTCAGAAACCTGTGTGTTTGCTGCTCCAAAATCAAGGCTATTGGATGTTGCACTTATTGTGTAGTCTGCTATAACACTACCAGGCCTATGGAGAAACACAAACCACACCAATGTGAAGACATGTATTAACATTGTGTTTGTTTGAAAAAGCAGTAAATAAATGGGAATGTTGGGTGAAAAAAAGTGAAAAATTTAAATGGTAGATCATACCTGAAGGCAGAGACTTTTGTAGAACCAAAAATGTAGCCAGGTAGCTTCTTAAAATAATTTGCATCAATCTGTAAAAAGCAAAATACCCAATTTATCTTTGAAATTATTTTCCCAATAATGAAAATTCAATAGTTATTGTGTCTATTAATACGTTACAATGTCATGTGCATGTGAGGATATTATATTTGGACTGTTTCTGACTGTCAACTGGATGTTAGGGAAAAATAAATACAAAAATGTAATGATATAAAAAGCAATATAAAACTATTAGGCTAGCTCCAGTCCTTGATTCTGATTGGTCAGTAATACACAGAACCGTTGAGTGAAGCAGTCATAGACATGCTTTATTGAGAATAAAACACAGCTGTTGAGCAATCAATAATCAAGGACTGGGAAATAACCATTTTATAAATAGCATTCGAACTAAATCAATGTGTAAATAACAAATAAATCAGCATGTTCATAAACAAATTACATTTCACTAAAAATTAAGCACAGAATACTCACTGTTGACTCAATTTGTCCAGACAAATCTTTGTAAGTCTTGCTATCAGGGTCGGTAAGACTTCTGTCAAAAGTCTGATTTATTGTAATTGACATTCCAATTACTGTAAAAAAGTGCACGTTTATGTGCATTGTATCAACAGGTTTAAGCAACAAGCCTCAATCTCTAATTATAAAACAATACAAATACTACCCAGCCAGAGGGGGTACACAAGGAGAACACTGGTGTCCCCCAATAAACATTAATTCACGATAACACAATAAATTAATACAAAAAATTATTTCCTGTTATTAGTTATTGACATGCATTTCATACCATTGTTGTACTCTTGCTAACACAAACATCATCTTAATTCCTTATTCTTTTGTGCAACATTTATATTTACAGTACCTGTCTATGCTGTTGTTGAATTAGATATATTAGCAAAACAACAATATGAATATAATTTTATCCTGCATGAAACCAAACATCAGATTTTGTTTTACTGTGAATACCTGTTGCTGTCATTATTGTTGATAGTGATGTTGGTGGTGGTGATGGTGTTGGTGTTGATGGTGGTGGTGATGGTGTTGGTGTTGATGGTGGTGGTGATGGTGTTGTTGATGGTGTTGGTGTTGACGGTGGTGGTGATGGTGTTGATGGTGTTGTTGATGGTGTTGGTGTTGGTGGTGGTGTTGGTGTTGATGGTGTTGTTTGTGGTGGTACTGTTGGAATTGGAGGAAATTGACATTACATGGTTTAAAAATTCAGCATATTCAGCATTGTGCTTATTACTCTTTTAATCTTTACAGATGTTGACAAATTATCAGCATTAAGAACATTTAATGCTCTAAACAAAAATCGTATTTATCTCATTATTTAAGGTAGTAATACACACAAATCTGAATATATAATGTACCTGTACATGTGTTATTGATGCTGATGGAGAGATTTGAGTTTGTTGCAGTGAATCCATCTGAACATGAGCAATTGTAACTTCCCAACTGATTTGTGCAGTTAGAATTTGGACCACATACAGAAGAACTGAATTGACATTCATTTATATCTGGAAAGGGAATAACACATTTCAGAACAATATCTCAATATTTCTAATCCTTTCCTAATTACAGAAAAAAATATAATTAGAAAAAATGTTTTACATCTGAAAAACATCAAAATGCAAATAAATGAATCACACCTATGCACGGGTTATTGTTATTTACAGTCTCATTCATCTTTGTAGCGTTATATCCTTCCCAACAAAAGCACGAATAGTTTCCATTGTAATTGGAACAGTTAGCATTCGGCCCACACACCAACGATGAGTTGAGACATTCATTAATATCTGAAATAAACCAAATGATGATGAAGATTAAAATGTTCAGTCTGACAGCATCAATAAAGTATACCAGCTTTGAATCATGTACAACAAATAGAAACTGACTGTTCAGAAATTCAGCTGTTGATTATATCAAAAAGAAAAAATCTAGGTTATTACTGAAGTTCACAGTATACGTATGTGAAGCTAGAACCCACTTCTGCATTTGTTATATGTTATTTATTTTCTACATGCTCACCATTGCATGGGTTACTGGCGCTGACTGGTTCACTGCTATTTGTTACAGTAAATCCACTCAAGCAAGAACAGCTGTAACTCCCAACTGAATTGGTGCAATGAGAGTTTGGACCACAGAACTCTGGTGTCTTAAGACATTCATTCACATCTTTATTTCAGGAAGATATGAAAAACAGTATAAAACTCTGATTGTCAAAGTCATAGAAAATATATTTATCCTTAGGCACTGTGTGCCTTCATTTACAATAATAGGCACGAGAAAAACTCTCAAGGCTTTACAAGTATCTGAATATAGAATGTACCTGTACATGTGTTATTGATGCTGATGGGGAGACTTGAGTTTGTTGCAGTGAATCCATCTGGACATGAGCAATTGTAACTTCCCAACTGATTTGTGCAGTTAGAATTTGGACCACATACAGA